CTTGACCATGTTGGGTTAGAACTTGACCGTGCATAGTCTGGATCACAACAACAATACCCGGTCGCCACCATGTGTACCTAGAGGTGCTGGTATGGGTCACCATCTTGTGCGCACTCCTCGCTCCCTCTCCGTTTTGTCCCTCGCCATCCTCGTTACTATCATCTTCACCAGCACTACTCTTTACAGCCTTGGTCGAAAAGCCGTACAAATTACGTGGTCAAAGTACTTTCATCAACCAGCAGAAAAGCAACTCACCACACAGACGAACCGGTCAATCTTCGAAGAATGGCCGACAGTTCGTACATCCTTCGGTCGTCAGCCAGAGACCTCATTAGTTGCACCTTCCGAATATCATCACAAAAAGTGTTTTCCTCGTTATCCTCTAACTTAATTGCGCAAGCAGTTTAAAGAGGTTTTACCGCGATACTTTCCGAAGTCGCAGCGAGTCGATTTTATTTGCAAGGTTGAAGAGGAAGGGGAGCATAACTAAATCTTGTTCTGTGTTGTTAGCTGACAACCAAAGGTGGAAAGATTTTTCCCACAAACGCTCATTTTACCTATGCAAATGTGGTGATTTTTGTGACTATGTTACTTACCTACTGATGTCACGAATAGTGTTGATTAATCGAGTTAAATGCTGTTCGGATGTCTCTCCGGATAGTACTTGTAGGTCTATGTTAAAACGACCGATGTCCGTGAATATCTGGTCCTGGTCTGTTCGCTTAACCACAGTCTCTCTCTTTCTCATGGGAATATGTTTCGCCATCGATTATAGCCTGCGGGTCATATAATGAGTACCTGCAATTCGCAGACCATCGATGTGCGGCTGATCCTCTGTGTTTACCGGGTGTACTGTTGTCACCTATTCTGTTCGGAGAACGAATTTCCCCCCTTATGCTTTCTATCGTGTTACTCAGTTCACCATCATCCGTGTACAACATTGGCCGGAACTCCTCGGCCGATATCGTTATAGTGTACACTTTTTAGCCGGAAGCAACAGGGCTGGAACACTAACGTTGAGATTACATATTATCCCGTCGAAAATGATCATCTCTCCTCAGCTCACCACTGCTCCGTCAAGCAGAGAGGATTGACCGCAGATCTGGTTGCTGAATGTTTGGGCTATGGACCTGCGCAGTATGATCCCGTTGTCACTCTTTCGAGAGGCATTCGATCAGTCTATCGTTCTTCGTTCCTTGGATCCTGACCACTGATAGTCTACCATTACCCATTCACCTTGGGTGCGATATGGTCGAATCATCCTGGCTTGCATGCATATTGGACCATTGGTCCAATAACATTTGTCTCTTTACTTTCCTGCTTTAAGGATAGAGATTGTATCCTACATGAGTGAACCAAAATGAGTAACACCGTCGCATTGAGACCGGATCTTTACTTGAGGCGAAGGCGTTCACATCTTGGTGATCCATCGAGCCGTGTTAGATGGTGCTTTTACACCTTCTTAGTCATGCACATCGGATTGGTCAATCGTTAGAGGTCAGATAGACTCAGTTTTCTTGTTCTCCAGATTAGAAGTTGAAATGGAGTTTGCTCCTTATTTCCTGTAATGTATTTGTAACCCAGCGCCGCTCTGATCGAGTGGATTCCAGACAGTAGCCTCTTGTATGGCGCCAAACCGGCTGGATCAAAGTCACGTGGGTCAGTTGGAGCCTGTTTGTCATCGCTACCTATGCTTCCGAAAACTGTGGCTGCCTCGGTAAAAGATAACTTTTGTCTTCAACTGTATTATCTCCTTCACAAAAGAAATGCAGCTACTGGATTGCTGGCTTTTGGTCTGAACACTCAAGTGAGAAATTAACGATGTGCTCTATCTGGGTAGCCGATACGGTGTAGGCTCTCGTACTGATAACAGTGAACAGTTGCCTTAGTTGTGTGAAAATGTTTGTCTATTTCTTGTGGGCACTAGCTTCAGTGAAAGCACCCATCACATGGTTACGTGGTGTGCACCAGCCTCGAACCGATCATGACCTGAAATCGATCTCGTCGTGACTAGTTGCCGTGAATGACATTCTTGTGAACTGCTGCTCGATATGAAACACAGACGTGGACTCCGACCATGCAGTTCGTGCAGTCCTGCTTGCATGAGCGCACTTATCTTCTGGTCAGGCATCGGGTTTGTTAGCGGGTCTCTCGCCGACGCATTCATCTTCGAAACATATTTTTACTGGGTTTAGCATGTGTAAGTGGGGCGACAGGAACGTCGGCTGATAAGTCGAGCCCGACATCCTTATTAGACCATTCGGCATGTGGATCCTTGCATTGCCAATGATCGGCCATGCATCGTTCGTCCACTCTGCAGCGTATACGCGCCACAGGTTCCTCGACGAACGTCGAGAACTTTGCCGCATTGCAACTTCCCTCGTTAATGAGATTTGAGGAATGATACCTTCGCTATTCAGTGCCTCAATCAGCGTCACCACGTGGCCTCTGACAGTGTACTTGAGAACATTCGCGCGCCTTCCTTTTCTCGTACTAGCCTGCGTCCGCCGCAGATGAAGATCGAACCCGCTCACATCATTGAAGATGCATTTCTCTTTGTCCTTCGGTACGTGTGCCAAAAAGTCGAGAGCGTAGGTCTGCCCTCAGGAACTGAGGGCATTGAAAACCATAGACACGGACAGGTGGATCGCGTTTTCTCTCTCAACCGCTGCTGAAGTTGTACCAAAGTGTCCTCGGAATGCCATTCAACGGCCTAGTCAACGCGCTGCATACCATCGGGAATCGGCTTCTTTCTGTTATTTCGGCAACCTCAGCAGCTTCGTGAGTGGTTTTGCCATCGACTAACATAAGCTTGGTATGGATATCATTCTGCGTCGGCGTAGTTCGCTTGCACCGTTGCTGTCTCAGAGATACGTTCTCTCATCGTTACTCGCTCATTTTGGTCGTTTCGTGCAGCACAAGGCTAATAGAGCTAGGTTGGGTTCGAAGGACTCCTAACAGCTTACGCTGTTCTAATTTTCGTGCAGTTGCATAGCTTCGCCCACCCACCCACATAAATCACGCGACCTATAGAGAGACAAGGGTAAAACTGGGTCACCGCCTTTGATCGACACCGATGATCAAGAAGAGGGCTTACGCCATCGCTGCTTACACAGTTGGATTGCATTTGCGTGACTGTAATGTGGTCCGCACGTCGTCCAGTCGCCTCACTCCTCATTTCTTGCTAAAAAATTACTGACTTTCTGCTTAGACTGTCATGTGTCCAATTTGCGAGACACAGTCCAACTGAGTGGTCGGGACCGTATAAAGCACGTGATTGTTCGGTTTTTTGAGTGAATGACAGGCTATTTTAGAAAGATTGTAAAAATTGCGAACAATGTAAATTTAAGCAAATGTTCAAGTGAACTAGTACGGACGTCCGGCGAATTTCCCCATGCGAACCGTGGTTGCAATGGACGGAATAAAATCGAGTCTGACAAAAGAGTCGGCTTGGCGCACATGCCATATAGAGTTTTTCCTTGCGTTTTTCATGAAAAGTTGTACATCAGATAACAGAGAAATAGCAAAGCCATATTGACGTCACCAACTCCTCTTGCATGCAACTAACTTCAAACAACCAAGCGTTCGCGTCACCTAGTCCCCTATTGAATAGGGCTAACTAACTCTAAGCATGAGGTTGCGTTCTTCCGACTCCTTTTCTCCTCATCAGCTTTCTATTGCGCCTTTCTGTCGCATCCCGAAAGCGCGAATACAACATAAGGCGAAAGATGATGGATTAGCCATGAGCAGTGTCGGAGGAAAATCTTTTGGCGACTGGTACCTTTCAATTCGCGCACCCCCTTTCAATTTCCTGTATTGTTAATGTCTGACGAACTACAACCTGTGATCACGCGTTGCGAATGCTCACTGACTGTTTTGTCTCTTCAACTCGCCTCCGCCGGATGGATCGCATATGAGAGACCAACTTTCGTGATGTATACTGCATTTTTTCCTACCGTTACACAGTTATTAATACTACTAATGTATCGTCTCGGTTTTACGAGGCATGCGCTGTTCGGCATGATCATATTGTTTCGTATAGTTTAACAACATATTCCATATGTCAGGCAGAAATAAAAGAACGTCTTTCTATCCTCCAGGGTTTTGCAATTCAAAGCCTTGTTTGGGCACAGAATATATCATGGTGTCCTGATGGAGATCTCCTTGTCCGGACGGAACCATCTTTTCATTTTCTTGCGTAAAGGATGAGAATCAATTTGGATGATAGGACAAATTAAAACTGGAATCAGACCATTTAAACTAAGCATTGATGTAGGTAACTCATTTACTATACATTGTGGCGTTCTAAAAAGACGAAGGTATTTATTTACTTTCATTTCAGCTACACCATTCCATCGCTGTTGCCCAATCAGGTATAAATGACGAATAATCTGGTTGTGGATGGTTTTCCTTTATCCGTCTTAGATCCAAACGGCTGATCGCCACTTACGTGCCGGAATCTTTTTATGATCCATCTTCCCCATGAGTTTACGGTGATCCTGTGTCTAGCCTGTCACCTTAAACCGGTAGTTGGTTACAATCTGGAGAACATGATGTACAGGGGACTCTGTCTATCGAATAACGCCTCCACCCTGTTTATGCATGTGTAACCACCAAACATCCTCTGTTTTACTCCATTCTGCTGTTGATAAAGTGGAGTGGGTGGCTCCACACTCGGCAGATAAAGCTACTGGGCACGAGTAACGTGCCCGGTGGGCTTTTCGCACTCTCACGGCTGAGCTATGCTTATTAATGCTCCGATCACAGGTTTAACCTTGACCGGGCCTAATGTTCGGCATAGGGTTAGCAATTTCTCACCCCCACTCTCGATCCATGTGCCCTCCATGCTAAACATGAACATGCACCCGAAGACCGATCCTGACTCCGCCACTGCGTCGGCAAGAAACGCTTTACTATGCTCGTTTCTCAGTTTATCACTCTTCTTCCACCACATGTTCCTTGCGGTCGCTCCAACTGCTGTATTTCCTCTTTTCTTACAGTCAATACTCTTGGCAACTCAACATTTCTACACCCGGATACCGACCGAATACAGTCGCTATTAAAACCGAAGCAAAGCGGTGTTTTAACTCCGAACCAGTTGGCTTCCCTACTCTCCGATATGCTGCAAGCTCCGACCGAATCCGCCGCACCGTATTCATCAGCGCGCAACCTCAGCGGTTCCGAGTTACTGAATCACGCGCATGCATCGAGTGGCCACTCCACACTGTGTCCAGCCACGCACACCCCACTGTGTCCGGTGTCTATACCCTCGCAGTATCACGGTATGTTGTGTGTTGGTCTTAATGTGTGAATGCCGAGTGTACGATAAAACGCACAGTTCTCTTTTGCACGCGAGTTAACCGATTGTTTTCATCAGGTACGTTGGACGAAAACAGATTTGAGTGACCCTGCACCCGAATTGCCCCTCCTATGTTTCGATCACTCGGTCGGTCACTTGTGCTGACTTGGAACGAGTAGCAAGCGTTACTACGCTCATGTCTGAGTGTCATCAGATAATGTATTTCACTTTCTGCGGTGTTGCATTCACAACAACCGTGACGCTGTTAACTGGCCCAATCTTGATGTGTTTTCTACTCTTCATAGCAGTGGCCCCGAGTGGCCTTCCCTCGCTAGCTTTAACCCTTCTTGGTTAATAGGATTTCATCATCATTATCAATGAACGTTAGCCGGGAGTGAGAAAACCACCCAGCTAAGGTGCCGCAATACGAAAATGATAAGCAATTAAATAATGTGGACTAAAAAAGCGATAAAATTAGCATAACGTTATGTACTGGGTTTGAGATCGTTTTTGGAAGGGGAAGCTAAAGGGGAGGGAGACTCATAACACAAACGCCACTGAGGTCGGCTCTTTGCCATTCCAGCTAATGTACCCAGCCAAGCGTGTTCATCGTCCTTGGGATCCCAGCTCGGCACTCGGGAAACGCTAACCGATGCCAACTTCGAAGTGAGAGTTTTCATTATTTTCGACAAAGTCATCGCTTGGCCTCCTCTCCTCTTCTTCCGTCCACACCCACGGCGCGCAAACAACACGCGACGCGGGTGTCGTTGGGTTGGCATGCTCAACACGTGGCCCAACAATCGGAGCCTGGTGCGTGAAATAACGCTGTTAAGCGGTTCTCTCACACTTCCTGCACCAAATACATGACGCCAAACACATTCTTTGCTCATACGATGTTCCCACCAGAAATGAGCTAAGCTGCGAATGCAGCGATGATCGAATGTGACCAGCCACCTTATGTCTGTCGACCTAATGGGCCAGGTTTCACAACCGTATTAGTAGGCTGAACGGACGGCTGCATGATACACTTTGACTTTCAGGGTGAGTGATATCACGCCGGTGACAGCTGGAGGAGATTGGCAAAAGCACCTCGAGCTTCTGCTGTACAGTTCATGGCCTCATCTTCAATTCCACTGGCGCTAATACAGCTGTCCAGGTACTTGAATTCCTGAAAGACTCCTAGTTGATCACTGCCGAGGGTCGGCGCAGGGGTGGGTCCGTGTCAATCTTAGAGAAGGAGTTTGAATTTCGAGGGCGCAGGGAATAGCCTGAAATGACTGACACCCAGAGTTAATTTATCCAGTGCATCTTGGCAGGTTTGTGAGCTGTCACAGATGAACGCAATGTCGTCGGTATACTCCAAGTCAGGAAGTCGGTCACGTGGGAGTAACTCCACGCTTTCGAAGTCGTGCCTGGCGAGCGCTGATTCCATTAGTTCATCAATGGCGAAATCAAAGAGGAAAAGTGACAGCGGACAACCTTGGTTCACACCGCTGGAGATGCTGAAGAGCGGCGACACTTTGCCGTAAACCTACTCTGCCCGAACTGTTCGCGTACAGCGCTCTTATGACATTTGCATGTTTCTCAGGCACACCACTTATTAGTCTCATAAGGCACGTCGATCAACCGAATCGAAAGCACCTTTGACGTCTAGTAACACTACTACGGTGGGTCGCCAACATACATGGCGGTGCTGCAACAATTGACGTACTGTGAAGTGGTAAATGCAGGCTCGATCTTGACGAAACCAGACTTGTTCCTCGCAGCCTTTCACAAGTTCCAGCTAGTTTGTGGAGGACGACAGAGACAATGGAGATAAAACTGGTTCCTCTATGCCGCAATCCGAACGGAAGTCTACTTTGAAAATTGGAACTATGGCGGAGCGGCTGTATTCTCTTGGGACAGTCTCCTGATCCCATGGTTTCACTAATAACTTGCGTAAATCGTTCAGAAAAAAGATCCCTCGAATTTGAGGAGGGCCAGTGAAAGTCCATTTACCCCAGCGGCCTTGTTCAATCTCAGGCGTCTGTTCTCACCTCCGACTTCTGCGCGTGTGGGCTGTCCCAAGTGGATGGAGCAGGGAGCAGACGCTCATTGTCGGAATGAGAAGTTGGCAGTTCTGACTATTTAAACTGCTTCCCATAGTGTTCAGCCTAACGCTCCAGACTTTGATAAGCTGTGGGTCAGCTCTTCACTCTCGTCACATACGGTCTCGTTAACACCAGGTTTCCTTTTGTCCGTTTCTCTTTTTAGACGGACTAATTTACGATGGCTGCTAAGGGCAGTGGTCGCCTCCACCTTCGACGCACTATGTGACCACTAGGCTTCACGTTTTCTCTTTAGGCTAGCACGCAGTTTCGCTTTGAGATCTCTATGAGTCTCATTGTATTCGCTTCCATCCGGAACACATCGGGGCGCATCCAGAATTTCTGGGGACTGCGTGGAGACTTAGTGTCTAGGTTGGCAATTTGATTTGCCACATAAAGACATGTCTGCTGCTAATAACATCTGGCGGATGTGCGACCACTGAGTGTTTACTCAGGTCAGATGCCGGCGTACTTTGATGCGCGTTCAGAACACTTGGCTTCGCCAGTTAACAGTTATCTATGCAATCAGAGCGCCGTTGCGGACGTCCACCGAAACGCACGAGCAGGTCAGCGCAAACAAGTGCGTGTTGAGAGTCCACGCTTACTTCAAATCGACCGAGAGTTTTGAATGCGGCCATTTCAAGTAGTAGCTGATCGCGATGTGGTCAATTTGCGTCCATGGCTGCTCCGAGGCTGTTGCGCGCCAAGTCACCCTCCGGCGGGTGCTGTGTCGGAAGTTAGTGCTCGTGAGAAATAGGCGCGCTCAGTTGTAGGTACTGTTCGCCGTTATCATTACGGGAGCCTATACCATGTTGACCACTCAGATGAAGCTCGTTAGTGGACAGTATTTCAACTTAGGCCTTCAAATCACCAAAAAGTGCCACAGTATCCGTACGTTTTCTATAACGAAAGAGCGCGTTTAATTGGTGATGGAAGTCATCTTTTACGCAGTCCGAGCTACAATTTGTGGGTGCGTAGGGCGCAGTAACAAACAAGCACTGTTTGTCCCCAGCCGACATAGATGCTTTGAATAAGGCAGTCAATCTGACGGCGCACATACAATTGTTGATAGGGATTCAGTCGATGCGATCAGCTTTAGCCCGGGGGCTAAGTGCAATGTATACGGCGGTCTGACCGACTTTTGAAGCAGCGTCATCTGACAAGCGCAATGAGAATGTGCAGCCAGCGTCGCACTTTGGGGATCGTAGCGTAATCACAGAACTCGAATCTTGTAAGCGAGCGTTTGATAACAAGCTGATATCGATTGATAGATTCTCCAATGCTCGACCAAATACTGCCTTTTCTCCAATCTGCAACAAAGTGCGTACATTGAGGCACGCTAGTCTTAGCGAAGATCGGGGCTCCAAAGAGAAACGGATACACCGATGTTGTCTATTTGGCTAGAAATGAACTTGCCGATTGGACCGGAGCGAGGCCCTGGGGTTGTGTGTGAGTCAAAACTAGAAGATAAACGCTTACTGAGCCAAGACGGGACAGGGCCAAGAATTGGGGGGTTGAAAACGGGGGGATAAAGATAAAGTTAGAGAGGGACGATAATAATGAAAAAGCGCGAGAGGGAGAGTAAAAAGACCGGAAGGCTTGAACAGTAACATCCAGACCTCTATCCACCCTGCTCGGTGCAGCAGATAGGGCGCCGTTGATTATTCTCTGCGACGGCCAGGGGTTTGCTTTGCTATGATGCTGTTGTGTGGGTCAGAGAAGGAATCTCTGGTGCAGACTATCTCGATGCCATATTTTGGCTGTACATTCTGTCTTCCGCGTGCTCCATACCGATTCCGCCAGAAGTCCGTCTTATGATTTGGGAAGTGGCTGCATCGATTATCCGTACTCTCAGCGGACACACAACAGTCTTTGGCGACGGGAGCAGAGTTATTCAAAATGTCACTCTCAGCAGATCTGACAGGTATTTTGCTTCGACAGCAGCAGCGATTCGAGGCGGCACAGCTGCGTATAATCGAGACTTTCACTCGAGCACTATCACACTAGTCTACAGCCCTCCACAATGCTGAGCAGCTTTCAGTCCATGCGATAGTCAACAGTGTCAGTGAGTTTGTTTTTGATCACGCTTCAGGACTGCTTTTCGATGCGTGGTTCAGACGTTAGGATTTTCAAGACGGAGCTGGCAAATCTTGGTGATGCGTCAAAACTACGACTACTGCTGCGTAAACTCGGAACTGTGGAACACGACAGATACATCAATAACATTTTGCCCAAAAGTGCTCCAGATTTCAGCTTTGATGAAACCATTTCCCGACTTACGGAGTTGTTCTGCGATCAGTAATCGCTTTTCAATAGTCGGTACAATTGCCTGAAGCTGTGCAAGAGGGACAGCGACAGTCTCATTGCCCATGCAATAACAGTGAAGCGAGAGTGCCAGAAATTCAAGCTGAAATCACTTAGTGAAGACCAATTTGAGTGTCTGATACTGGTATGCAGCCTCCAATCTCCCAAGGATGCCGAGATCCGAATCAGAATACTTAGGTTGTTGGAGCGTGATCCGGATGTCACACTGTAAGCTGTCATTGTACAGGCCCAGAGAATCATCAATTTAAAACACGATACAGCTATGGCCGAAGATACGAAGGCGCATTTCAGTGATTTCGCAGTTCAGCAGATTTCGAAGAACAAGTTTCCGGCCACTGATCACAAGAAGACCCCTCAAGGTAAGCCACCATCAGCATGTTGGCAATGCGGCGACTGGCATTTTGTTAGATGGTGTCCATTCAAAAAGCATATCTACCAGAAATGTCGTAGACGGGGGCACAAAGAAATTCATTGCAGATCCAAGCCATTTCTCAGACCCGTTCATGATACACGAATGAAAACCTACGGTGGTTTCGCGAGGAGAGTGAACGCCAATTTTACTGACGATGTC